ATTTATGTGACTATCATTTTTTTTAACCTGCTGCATTTTGTACAAATGAGTCCCGTATTTCATTGTACTTGTCCATACTATGTCTATGTCTATAGGCAATCCACTCAAAAGTGGCAAGTACAATCAGGTCTTCAATCCACTGAATATATGGGGCCATACATTTATCCTTCCAATGCTGCAATATCAGTCTTTTGCCCATAGTAAGGGCACAAAGAATCCATTTAAGTTGTCCAGATATCAAATACCATGTACTAGGTATATAGTTCAAACGAATTTTATTTTTTATAAGGTCCACTGACACTCTTGCTATAGAAGTTAAAACATTCTCCCACCTCCATCCACCTAGGATGTCATTCTAAGTTTATTAAAAATGTAACATACACCATAATTTCATAGCCTGATTATTCTGTAGGGGATGGGATGCTATAACCCAAGATGTGAGACCTGCAGAGACCCAGATGCATTGCTTCTCCATTGCTACACCAGTATTGTGGAATAAACTCCCTTGTGAGATCTGGATAGACTCCACTCTGGTCAACATTAAAAAAGCAGACTTGGCTCTTCCTTCAAAGATTAACATCCAGCACCTGCATTCCACTGTAATTTGATTTTGTATCCTATTTTAATTGAATGTGCATTCTGGTTTAATAAGGTTTTTATTATGTTCTATTGTGTTCCTGTGAACTGCATAGAATATCTGTAAGTTGGGTTTACAAACACTGTAAAATAGTGGTCTGTATAAATGAAGTTTTCTCATTTATAATTGACTCCAATCCTAATTTTTCAAAAAGATTCAGGAACTGAAGTACTTATTAAGACATGGCTTTCTAATCAGAATGCATATTAAATAGGTTTTAAAGCCATTTGTCATCATTTTGATGGTACAGTATTTTATATAAGTTTAGCATATAGTATAAAGAAACACTGTTCGGTATATAAAAATATAAAGAGATATTGAGAGTTTTCAATGAACTTTTTAAAATTTTATACACTTATATAAATCAGATGAAATGCATATATGCATAGAAAAAATACTTTAAGTTATAAATGTTTTGTCAAATATTACATTCTAATTTAAACTAGACCTTCAATTCAAAGGAATACTTTATAATAGTCTTCAGAAGTATGGGACTATACTTTTAATCTTTCCTGCCTTTCTGCTATACTGACTGTAGGGATAAGATTTGTAGTCCTAGAGGAAACAAGATTGTGGAATACTAATTTATATTAAGTGGCAATAAAGAATTAGCTATTGACATTTTTAATTGGCTAAGTATATAACATTAGCATAACAACTGGATGAAAATATGGCAAGGATCCAAAGAAATATTGGGATTCAATTCCTCCAGTTAAACCAAACTGTTTTAGAATTCCCATCATGCATTGAGTCCTAATCAAGAAACCAAAGTCAAAGGATCTTTGATCACACAGAAGTACTATCTGGTTCTATAAATTCTGACCCAAAAAAACACAACACAATATGATAACACACTAACAGAATAACATTGAAAACCCAAGTAATTTAATTTGTTAAAAGGAGATACAACACCGGTTAAGTAATGGGAATAATGCTTTATTTGAACAGAGAGATAATACAACAATTAAACAGCTAATGTAAGATTCTATGGGAGATGTTATGAACATGTTTTAGCTTACTATAGTATATTATCACTATTGTCTTGCTAAGCATGGTTCCGCTAGTAGTATACACATATTTTTTTATTCACTAAATTTGTCTTGCATACAGTACACAATAATACTGAAACTGATTTCAAGCTAGAGACTAAAGATGAGAATCGGGTGCATTTACACATTACTCCACTAGAGGGTAACTCTTTCTGCTTATTAAGGGAACTGACAAATTATTTTAAATAAGCATAGGATGTAAGTGAAGTAATCAGGTAAGGAAACTCATAGCCAGATCTTTAATGCATCATTTTAAAACACACTTTTTATTCTTATAGAAGCTAAAGAATAAGTATACATATCTCAGAAGTATCTATAAGGAAATGTCTCTATAACTGTTTCCATAAATGTTTAAGTTGTATTATCTTAATTACATAAGTATACATTTATTCATGAAATAAAGTTTCAGCAGCTGAAATAACAGGAGGTTGTGCTGGAGAGAGGATATTTTTTGTTAATTGTTGATTCACCTAAAATTAGAATACAAAGAAAGTCCAAAAATATAGTTTACTAGGACATAGAGTTATTTTATCTGATTAACAACCATCTCAAAAGCCCAAATTTCTAATTTACTTTCTATTCAATTTGGTATATCACTCTTGGCCAAGGTTGAAGCACATTTCTAGGAGAAAAGATTCAAATTTAAGGATGCCACCTCTAGATCTTTCTTCCAGTCTCCTTATCAGAGCTACTTAAGAAATTAGTTTTGCGATTAAGAGACCAGGAAAACCCAGGTTTAACTCCTGCTTGATTATGCAGCACTCTGTGACTTTGGGTAGTCATTTGGTCTCAACTCAGATACCTCATGTACTTGTTGCTGACATGAATGGGAGAAGACCTTGTGCATGCCACTTTAAGCTCTGAAGGAAAAGGTTAGGCTTTGGATAAATAATCCTGTCAATCAGAAAAATCAAGAACCAAAATACAGAAAATGCAGAAGGACAAGATGCCCATAGTATAATTACACTATGAAGTATTATACAGAGCCTTGAATTTGAGGGCAAGTTAAGAAAAACAGAAGTTTCTAACTTTCTCCTAGATTTCATAGGGAGGAATCTTAAGCATCCCTACCTGAGATGCATACACTGGATGCGTAGGATCTACTAGAAGTAGAAAGTTCTGTAGGCATTCAGGTGCCAAGCTATGCAGATCTTCAAAGACAAAAATTGTCTCTGGAAGCACTTGGACATTATAAAAGGGACTACCTCCCAAGCCTCAAAGTGCAACAGGTGCAACAGTGGATATCCTTCAGTTCAAGAGAGTAGAAATTCATGAATACAGTACAGAATTCCCAATTTCATTTTTCCACTGTCAGCCCACAATTCATGTGCATATTTATTGAACATGCAACAGTTCTTCCTTCTCATCCAGCACCAAAACCAAGTGGTCTGATGATACAGACACAGGTCATAATTCCACTGCCATTAGCTAGCCATATTTCTATGTTCCATATGAATGGTTGGAATAGTTCATACTTTCACAAGCATTTGCTTCATTTCTACACTGGATGGGAAGAGGCAAAGCACCTTGAAGGGATGTTAAAAGAATTTTTCTCCTATCAAAACAACTTGGGGTCAAGTTATCTAGTAACACCTTCCAGATCTGTCTAGTCAAAACCTAGTCACTGACAAGAGTTCTTCTCTAGAT